AAGAATATGGCAACCTGGCATACTGAATATTTGAAGCTGAGAGAGTTTGAAGAAACCACAGAAGCAGACCTCCCCCACCCTTCATCCCTGAAGCAGTTCATCTGACCCTCAGGTGAGAGGTGCCCTCCCTATGCCTGGAGGAAAGGAACAGCTTCATACCAAGATGGCTAGATATGGGGAAGAATCTCAGCAAATAGGCCTTGCTAAGTACCCCCCATTTACTACACTTAGCTAATCCTCTTTGCCTTATCATATTTCTCCATGGCTTTCAACTCCTCATCAATAGTGTAAAAACACTCAGATTTATCATTTCTTCTGATCTTCATTTCCTTATAAAGATGCCCATGTCACATACAAGTTACATGAAATCAATTTGTATACTCTTCTCCCGTTAATCTGTCTTTGCCAGTTTAGTTTTCAGATCCAGCCAGGGACCCTAAGAGGTTGAGAAAAAAACTTTTCCTCCCCTACACTGCCTTCTTCCCCATGACAGGGACCTGCTAAGTTCTTTCATTGCAACTTTCAACCAGCAACTAAAACAGTGCCTGCTCAAAACAGGTACTATCTATTTTTTGAATGAATGTGTTCTCACTATAAAGACAAAGTGCCCAGCCCAATGGGGGATACACAAATGAATCAGGAAGGGACCCTGCCCTCAAGGATCTTGAGGTCTGCTGGTAAAGAAAACACATAAAGACAACATGCTGCTGGTTCTGGAGAAGGATAAAATGACATCCAGATGACATCTGCCTGTAGGTAATCAAGGCTGGCCTTGAGTAGGAGGTTGCATTTAAGCTGAAAGATGGAAGATGGGTATTGTGGTATTTTCTACTTCATTCAATGCTCTCTTTTTATCCTGCTATGTCTGACAAACTTGACCTCTGACTGCTTAACTAACTCCCCTCTTTCAAAGCATGCTGGTGCTGTACTTGGTTCTGAATGTTCCTACTGCTGTATGATTGGGGCTGGATGCATTTGGTCATTTGCAGGTAAGTGCACCTATGGGCAAAAATACATGCTTATATATGAAACATAGTAATACAGATTTTAACAATAAATTAGTTTAACTGAAATAAAATTTTCCATGTTACTGCCTTTGCAATTGAGCATATTTTAGCATTAGCATACAAATTAGCCCATAGGCCTAGGCAAATAAAAATGCTAATAAAATGTAAAGGTACAATAGAATATTAATACTGAATTCAGTTAGGCTATTAACATTAGGCTGCATTACACGTATCATTTCCACAATACAGGTATGAACGTTTTCTAAGCCAGTGAAAGATTTTGCGGATCAGGAATTTTAAAATTCAGGATGATCTTATTATAATCTCTGGGAATAAAAACGGGATAAATGTTCCTGTATTCTGTTTAGAAGGTGAATATTTGTTTTCTCTGTCCATTTCTCCTCCACCCTCTGCCACCTTACTATGTGAAGATGACTTATCTTAAATAATGATGGTTTGATCAACTGTTACTAGAGATTCAGGTTTCCGTGAAAGAAACAGTGAGAATATAAAAATAAATGAAATAAAAATTTCCCCCATATTTGCCTGGCTTTCGTACAGAGCCATACACAACCCCAGGGGCACTGTTCAGAGACGCTCACATGAGTGATGCTCCTGGAGTTGCTGGCGCCCACACTGCCATGCGAGGCATCCCTGATGGTACAAAGGAGTAACGATGGAGGGATCCTTTCGGAAAATTTGGGAACTGATACTTGCCATTCTGAAGTTTTCTACTTAAAGGGTTTGCTTAACTTTTATTAGGAACACTTGGCACAATATTATAAAGCAAAACAAACTTTCCACCTTGCGAAAAAATGTGTCTATGTATATATAATTTATATATACATGAAGCAAATCAAGCAATCTCTCCTTTTCCTATTTGCTAAGAGCCCCCACCCCTACCCCAGCTGTGTTCAGATACTGTGCAGCCATGCAGTTTACAAGACGCTGGATCCACTTCTGAGCACCAGAGGGTGAAACTAGATAAAAGTATTTCATTACCCTTTGCACCTTTGGTTTAGGAAAGGACATCTAGGCAAGTCTGGCCAATGAGCTAGAGGGGAAGTCTTGCTGGGGGGGTCTTTCGGGAAAGGTTTCCTTGACTGGCTAAAAGGAAATGAGGAAAGGAGACACACTTCCTTCCTTTCAGTCATTGGATATTGTTATCTGGAGCCACTGCAGCCATCTTGGGACCTAACTCACGTGTTCTGCATATTGAAACACATCTATGTTTATCGCTGTAGATTAGATGGATAGAGGTAGCCCAAAGAAACCTTGGAGATCACCATATTCAACTGTGTCATTTGTTTTTGTTAAACCAGGTTTCATATTTTTTAGCTTATTAATACCCCCCAATGGAAATCACAACTATTAAGTCAACCATTAGGTTTGGGAAACAATGATAAATATGGATATGATCTGATTATTTGGTTAGGTGCCATTTTAGACAGATATTTGCCATGTGACTTCTTTAATTATGTAGTAATTTCCAGAATAGTATCTTACCAGAATTAATTCACAGGGGTGGGCAGCTTATTTCTAGACTATTTTAAAACTGAACTGAAGCTTACTAAGGTGGGTGAATTTAATATTTATGGAGTTAAAAAGGTAATTAGCAATGCTTTTGGTCTTGTCACAAATATTACTATTTAGCATAAACTAAAATCATTTGAGTGTTTGTTTAGATGCCAGACCATAGGTTAAGTGCTTACTTGACTCAAATAGCTCCATTCAAGTCTCACAATTCAGGTAAGCCTTGTTATCATACCCATTTTGTGGATGAGGAAACTGAGGTTGGGAAGGTTAAATAGTTTACTCAAGATCACAGAGCAGTAGGTAGAAAAGCTGGTACTTGCAGTCTGAGAGTCTCCAGAGCCCTAGCTCCTAGTCACTGCAAATTTTTGCCTAAGAGTCAATATAACTTAATCTCGGTTGAGGCAGACACTGTTAGGTGCACAGTTACCAACTATTTCCCCTTTCTCCTCTGAAACAGAATCCCTATTTTGCTTGGGAGAGACTCATGGTTAAGTTAACGAATTGTGGCAATTCCATTTTCTTTACTTGTCAGTCTGCAGTGGGCATGTGGCCATTTTCCGGCCAAAAAGGGAGATTCTACCGGGGAGGGCGATTGGGAAAAGATTTTTCTCCTTCATAAAAATGGTAGCACTGTCTTTCCCTCCCTGCTTGTATAATGACCTCTGAGGATGTGATGTCTGGAGCTGTGGTGGTCACGCTGCAATCAAGAGGTAACAAGCCTGGAGCTAAAAACCCATAAGAATGATGGTAGTGGGGAGACACAAAAAGTCTGGGTCCTTAATGAGATGATTGTGCTGCTGAACTAATCCTGAGACTACTTACATCTGAACCTCATCTTAGAGATGTAATAAATAACCTTATGCTTTAAGTTACTGTTAGATATTCCATTCCATGTGGCCAGAGGTATCCTGCTGGATACACTCTAGGCAGGGAAAGATGTTTTCCCAGAGTTGCTGCAAAAATAAATGAGGTGGAGGTTATCAAGATTTCATCCAGGAATCCATTAATGTAGGTAGTTGTTCAGAAAAAATACCCCAGAGTTGTCTCAGAAGTGGGTAAATCTGAGCAATGCTCATGCTGCCTGTGCTGGATATTCCCCCCTTTTCTCTCCAGGTGCACTGTTCTTCTTCTCTGTGTGATTGACTGATAGGGATTGCTTCAAAAGGCTCTCCTGCCCTCTGGCTTCTGGTTGGATTTGGCTATTGGGATGCACCAGCAGGAGGAAGGAGGAGGGAGGTGAGTGAGAGAAATCCCCCTACCTTCGTCGTTGGGTGATTACTTAGGCTGACTGCATCCCTTGACTGAAGGTCACAGGCTCCTGTCACGCTGCCTTTTTTGTGCAGTTTTGATAACTGTTCCTTCCCTTTGCTTTGACAGATCTCGGAGCTTGTAGCCCCAGGATTCCACACTTCCCTTGTGGTTTCCCACACCCTACCCACATCTTTGTAAAGTACCATTTGTTTCCTGCCTAGACCCTGACTGATACAACGGTGTAAACAAAATCACTGCAGCTGCTGAAGTTTGGTCCAGTGTCTCTGAGATGTGGTGAGATTCCATGGAGTTATTCAGAGTTGAAATAAGGGTACTCCAACCATTAAAGAGATAGGGGACTACATAAATGTCATACTACAAAAGTGAAAGTATCACAGCTCAGAGAAAACACTTTCCACCTGAGGACAAGATATCAAAGAAGGCTATCTGGAAGAGACGGCATTTGGGGTGAGGATGGATAGGATTTTTAAAATACAAAGATGGGAGACTGTGAGTCAAGTCAGGAAGGAGAGAAAACTCTAGAACACTTCCTGAAAAGTTAGTGCTGAAGGGACCCAGGATGTCCTTTATTCACTATTAGTTTTCCCTCCATCTCCTTTATGGGCGAGTGAGTAAACTTGAAGCTGAAATTTGGCCAAGGTCAAATAGCAAGTAAGTAGCATGCCAGGACTTCAAGCCAGGGCAGCTAGCTGCTAGGCTGATTCCTAACCCACCTTCTACCTCCAGCCCACCCTGCTTCACCTCAAGTAGTCTGCTTGCTTGTCAGTCTCTCCTACTAGACTGCGACCTCCTTCAGAGTAGGACCTCTGTTTCCCTCATCTTTGAACGCCAGTATGTAGCACAATTTCTGACATAGTCATCCTCATCAGCTACCAAATAGTAAGAAGAACTCACCCCCTGCCAGGAACAATATTGATATTTCATATGCACCTCATGTAATCTTCATAACAACTTGGAGGGGTAAAATTACTTGCACTTGTCAGCCAAGGATGCTGTGACTCAGAGAGGTTCTCTAATCTGCCTGAGGTCACACAGAGGAATGCAGGACTCTTATTTTACCTACCAGCAGCCGGACTCTGGAGTCCTTGCCTCAACGGGCGTTCAGTAACTTTTGTTGAATGAGTGAAAGAACAAAAAACGTCGCCTCAGTGTAAGTGATCGGCTGTCACAGGCCACTCTGCTGCTATGCCGCCTCTGGCCTCAGACTCAGCACGTTGTCTCCGCTCCAAAGTAGATCCGCTGATCTCTGCTCCCGGTGCTGGCTCCCAGGCTCCGTCCCCGACTCCGCCCATCTTGCCAGCCACGCCTCCACCTCGGGGAGTTCGTTTGCTCTTCCAGGCCGAGTTTTCTCCTGGCTGCGGCCGCTGCACTAAGCTTTTCTCAGCCTTGCAATCTGGAGCCGGTCCCACTTCCCTGCCCTCCCCTCCCCTCGCCCTCCCTCACTCTTCAAACTTCTTTTTTCCACCCTCTTTTAACTTCAGTCATTCTAGTGCCCGCCTTCTCCACTCCCATCAGCCAATCGATGGTTCTCGTTCTCGTCGAGGGTCCGCCCCCTGCCCGCCGGGGGCCAATCCCCGGCGAGGGAGTCGAGCGCTGGGGCTCGTTCCCAAGCGCC